CCGGCGAGGCGCGGAAGCTCGGGCTGCGGCACCCGGGGGAGGACGGCACCTCGGGCCGGCGCGGCCCCGCACGCCGAGGGCGGCGAGGACGAGGACGCGGGCGAGGACGACGGCGACGGCGGCAGCGGCGGCGGCGGCGGCGGCGGCGGCGTCGCTGTGGTCGTCGTGTGCGCCGTCGCCGTCGCGGTGGTGGTCGCCGAGGCCGAGGACGACGAGGACCCTCGGGACGACGAGGGCGACGAGGAGGCCGAGGGCGAGGGCGACGAGGAGGACGAGGGCGGTGCATTGCGCAGCTCCTTTTCGGTACAGCCCGAAGACGCCGGATTGGCGGAACGGCCTCGCTGACCGTACATCGTTGAGCAGAGCGCACTGCGAAGATAAAACACAGTTGGAGATTGAACATTTTTCTTCAGGACGACGCGACGGGCGAGGAGGAGGAGGAGGAGGAGGAGGAGGAGGAGGAGGAGGAGGAGGATAATGCCCGCGGGGTGAGGCGGACCGCGTCGAGCCACGGCCACCCCTGCGAGGCGCGCGCCCCACGCGCGCCCGCGCCTCGGCGCAGCTACGCGCCCGAGGCTGTCGGCCAGGCCTCACCCCGCGCGGCCCGCAGCAGCCTCGCCACCTTGGCTGCCAAGCCTGGCGAGCAGCTGCGCTCCCGCGCGCCGCGCCGCGGCCTCGGCCCGCCGCCTCCGCCGCCCACAGCCCCTGCTTCGCATCGAGCAGCAGAGCCACCTGCGGGCGGCGGCCTCACCTCCTGCAGCTCGCCCTCCATGGCCACGTCGTCGCCGCCCGCAGCCCCTGCTTCGCATCGAGCAGCAGGTTCCCCTGCAGGCGGCTGGACCTCCTCCTGCGGCCTGACCTCTGTGGCCTCGCGCGGCGGGGACGGTCCGCCGTCGCCACCACCTGCAGCCACCTCGTCTCCTCCCTGCGCAGGGCCCGCCACAGGCCGCTGGCTCTCGTCCTGTTGCTTGACCACCTGGGCCACGCGCCTCGGCGACTGCGAGGGCGGCGTCAGCTCGGCCAGCCTCGGCGAGCTGCTGCGCACACGCGCGCGTCGCCGCAGGCCAGGCCCTCCGCCGCCGCCCGCAGCCCCTGCCGCGCCACGTGCCGCGGCATGGGGCACCGCGGCTGCGCGCCTGCCGCCGGCTCGCCCTCTCGGGCCAGCCACCACGCTGTAGTCCTCCACGTCGTCCGCCAGCACCTGGACTCCACTGGCCTCGCTTGGCTGGGGCGATCCGCCGCCGCTGCCACCTGCAGCCACCTCGTCTCCTCTCTCGGCAGGGCCCGCCTCAGGCCGCTGGCTGCCCTCCTGCTGCCTGGCCACCTCGGCCGCCGTCCACGGCGCCAGCAAGGGCGGCGTCGGAGCGGCCTGCCTCTGCGAGCTGCTGCACACACCCGCGCGGCGCCGCGGGCCTGGCCCGCCGCCGCCGCCCGCAGGCCCTGCCTCGCCTCTCGCGGCACCCTGGCGCGCCGCGGCTGCACGCCCTCCGCCAGCTCGCCCTCTCGGGCCAGCCGCAGCGCGGTAGCCCCCAGGGGTCAGGGGACGCAGGAAGCACACATCCTCCCCGCCACCTGGAGCTCCTTCTGGCGTGCGCAAGGCGTGGCTGTCCTCTTCCCTCGCGATGTCCTGCGGCGGCTGGCCCCTCTCCCCCTGCGCGTCGTCCGCCATCATCGGCGGGGGCGGTCCGCCGCTGCTGGCACCTGTGGCCACCTCGTCTCCTCCCTCGGCAGGGCCCGCCTCCGTCCGCTGGCTTTCCTCCTGTTGCTGCTTGGCCACCTTGGCCGCCCGCCTCGGCGACCTCGAGGGCGGCGTCAGCGCGGCTCGCCTCAGCGATCGGCTGCGCACACGCGTGCGGCGCCGCGGGCCTGGCCCTCCGCCGCCGCCCGCAGGCCCAGCTTCGTCACCTGCCTCGGCCTGGTGCGCCGCGGCTGCACGCCTGCCTCCAGCTCGTCCTCTCAGGCCAGCCGCCGCTCTGGAGGAGGAGGAGGAGGAGGAGGAGGAGGAGGAGGAGGAGGAGGGGGGGGGTGACGAGGACGACGGGCCGCGCATGGTAAGAGCCGTGTCCCGAAGGCGTCGGCACTGCGGCCTCTGACGCGCCACGGCGCGCCCCCCGACGCCCCCCCGCCACGGGGCGGAGTGATCCGCCCTGGGGGGAAAACAAACCTACACCCTGCGAAATGCTTAAGAAATCATGGGTTAAGAAACTCATAGTCTCAGAACTTGGATAAAAACCCAGGATTTCCATTCAAATCTTAGGATTTACATTGAAACGTTAAGAATAATCGAGACTCTGGCCGAAAACTTAGGTTTTCTTAAGCATCGCCTAAGGTGTACCTCGCTTCTGACCACCCTCGCTTCCAAGAGATGCCAAACGATGCCAAATTGCAGCCTGTACTGGTCAGGCCGCTCGACGAGGAGGCGCGTGGTGTGGCCTGGTTTTGCCTGGAAAAGCGAACGCGGGGTAGGTGATTCGCGCTCTGACGCCCTGAGATCATGGCGTTCTAGTTTGGTCGCCATGGGCGGGTTTGCCTTCTTGCGGGCTAGATCTGGGAATCTCACGGATAGATCTGGCACTACACATCCCGCAGAGAGAAGAAGTTCAGGGCTCCGGTCGAGCTGTCGCAGTGCACGTCTGTTCGCGACGCCGGATCTCGAGGGAGGAGAGCTTAGCTGCCCCGATACACAACGCGCAACACGTGGCGTATTGATACGGAGCTCACGATACGCAACACGCAACACGTAGCTGCCCCGGTACGCAACACGCAAGACGTAGACTGAAACCCTGCGCCTGACGCGACACGATCGTCAACACGTGAGCCGATACGCTGAGCCAACAGACCACGTCTTGACACGGACGTCCTGAACACGGCACGTGCTGCGCATCACAACGGACGCGCCGAGGCGGGCAGGGAGGACAGGGGAGGGAGAAGGGAGGGGAGAGGCACCGCGACAGGAAACCCCGGCGCGTTGCCAGCCAGAGGCTGCGGTGGACCCCACGCGGGCAGGGAGGACAGGGGAGGGACAAGGGAGGGGAGAGGCACCGCGACAGGAAACCCCGGCGCGCCGCCAGCCAGAGGCTGCGGAAGGACCCCACGCGGGCCCGCACCCGGAGGCCACGCCGGCGATCGGCCGCCGCCCGCCGCCTGGGGCCCTCAGGGGCCCCCGGCTGGCGGACCGACGGCCGGCCCCGTCCCCGGGGCGCTCCGGGGGCCCGGGAGGCACATCGTCCCGAGCGACCGCCAGTGGCGGCCCCTCGCCGTTGCTCGGACGTCCCGCCCGCGTGCTTTCTGCGTCGATGTCGTGCGCGCATTCTCGGCGGCGGACCCGGGGGGGGAAGGAGAAGGGAGGGGGGGCGGACCTTCTCGGAAGCCTCGGGAGCCCCCTGGCCTTCTGGAGACTCGGAGGTGCTCCGAGACGGCAAGGAGCTCCTCAGAAGGCCGCCCAGCGCTTCTGAGAAGCCCCCGCCACCTTCCGAGAAGGCCTCTGCGAGGCGGGGATTTATCCACATCCACCGCCTGGGAACCGACGTCCTGGTGCCCCAGCGGGCGGCGGATGTGGATACATGTCGGCCCTCGGGGGGCCGACTTCGTCCACATCCACCGCCTGCCGAGGCCTCCGAAAATCGATCCTCAAGGCGGTGGTTGTGTGCAAATCTCCGCCTCGGAGCCTTCTCCTTCGCACTTCCCCCCTCCTCCTCCTCCTCCTCCTCCTCCTCCTCCTCCTCCTCCTCCTCCTCCTCCCTCCTCCTCCTCCTCCTCCTCCTCCTCCTCTCCTCCTCCTCCTCCTCCTCCTCCTCCCCTCCCCTCCCCCCCCTCTCTTCGCTCGCCGCCGACGCCTGGCCGGAAATGGGAACCCAAGGCTCTCCTCCTCGGTGGTCCTCGCCGAGGAGGAGGAGAGGAGGAGAGGAGGAGGAGGAGGAGGAGGAGGAGGAGGAGGAGGAGGAGGAGGAGGAGGAGGAGGAGGAGGAGAGGAGGAGGAGGAGGAGGAAGAGGTGAGGGAGGAGGAGGAAGAGGAGGAGGAGGAGGAGCGCCAGTACCTTCCGCAGGAGGAGGAGGAGGAGGAGGCGGAGGAGGAGGAGGAGGAGGAGGAGGAGGAGGCGGACCTCCTCGCCGCGCACACGTCCGAGCGATGATGCCCGGGGGGCGCGAAGGACCAGCCCTGCGGCACACGGGCAGGGCGCAGCGGCTCGGGCCGGTGGGGGGCAGGCGGCGCTCGCCTAGGTAACCAAAGCCTGCCTCGCTCTCGCTTTTGGGCAAGACTGCTCAGCTCACCTCGAAGGCTCTCCCCCCCAAACAAAAAAACGGCGGAAAAGCATCACCTTCTCGACGGCCTTGTTGACGAAAGGTGGCCCCACCGAGAGCGGAAAAGAAGTGCTGGTCCGCGGCACCCGCCGCACGACGACGACGACGACGACAACGACGCCTGCGACTACTACTACTACTACTACTACGACCACGATGCGACTACGGCGACGACTGCGACCACGAGTAGTAGACTCACGACTACGACGACGACGACGCGAGCGGGAGGAGGAGGAGGAGGAGAAGGAGGAGGAGGAAGCCTCCTGGTCAAGCAGCCTGCGATCCACGACCTCTCTCTCTCGGTCGCGCCCTCGGCTCCGCCCGCCCTCGCCAGGCATCCGAGCTCCCAGGGCAGACAGCAGTGCCCAGCCTCTTCGATGCTCGACACCTCCTCCTCCTCCTCCTCCTCCTCCTCCTCCTCCTCCTCCTCCTCCTCCTCCTCCCCCTCCCCTCCTCTCCTCCTCCTCCTCCTCCTCCCTCCTCCCTCCTCCCTCCTCCCTCCTCCCTCCTCCCTCCTCCCCCTCCCTCCTCCCTCCTCCTTCCTCCCTCCTCCCTCCTCCCTCCTCCCTCCCTGTCACTGCGCTGCTTTGCCAACCTTCGGGAGTGGGTCGACGCCTGGCTGGCTGGCTCACGAATGCAATGCGCATTTCGGTGTTTGCGTCTCACCTCAACTTGGTGTGAGATGTTGAAACGCGGGCGGAGCTTCATCTGTCGCCCGCATTGCTC